GCTCAAAGTTCGAAGGACCTTCTGCTGCCGCCTCCTCGGACCGCTTGGCTTGAGGAAAGACAAAAGTGTCCGTCTCAGCCTTCGAACCAGTGGGGTCCCAAGGACGTGCAGAGATCGACTGCAAAAGTGCAAGGTCTGCAGGCACAAAAGCTGCACGAGCCTTCTGCGGATGAGGCTTGCGGCTTGCGGAAAAGAACTGTCTCACCAAAGCCACAGATAAAGCCGGCATACTTCTTATGCCAGCGCCGCTCAAAAGCCGTCGTTCCTTCCGCGTTACAAAGGTAACGGTTCACAAGCCACTGCGCGTGACGTACCAGCCAGGTAAACAAAGCTGAGTGAACCGAAAGGTCCACGTCGTAGCGCTCAATCAAGGATCTCAAGGCGCAAAGCCTTGATCTGTCCGTACAAAGTGGCCTGCATGTTACCCAGGCTGCCCTGCGCTTGCTTCCAACCGACGGGTGTCTTGCGAAAAGAAAGTCCACCAACCTCACCAGTCACAGAAGTTGCAATAGCGAGGAGGGCGGGTTCGGGGTCCGCTTGCAACACCGAAAGTTCTGCCGGCTTCAAAGCGGCGAAGTTCCGCTTGCGAGTAAGGTGTGCGGGCCTTGGTGGGGATCACAACAGAAAGTGCCATGCCCGACAGAACATCGACAACGTTCAAGATCGTGATCTGTTCCTCACCAGGCTTGTCGCCAAGAAAGCTAAAGTCCATCTGCAGCACAGGCTGCTTCAGGGAAAGTCGGCGGCTCTTGGCCTGCTTACTCTTGGCACGCACACAAACTTCGCACCACGGCTTAAAAGGCAAGTGCGTCAACTCGTGCTCAAGCCGCTCCGTCAAAGTTGGCTCGCCCGGCTGCTTAAGTCCGCGTGGGCGACGCGCAACATAGACATAGTCGGGAGCCTCTGGCTCGCACTCAACAAGTTGCAAGTCTGCCGTCTCAAAGCAAGTGGCTCCGACAAAAGGTGAGCTGATCAAAGTAGCGCCGTTCTTGCGCCAAACGTCAGCGTGCCAAAAGGGCACCTCTTCTGTTTCGGGCCTCACAACCAAAGTCATGCGACCGTTGCCAAGCTGCTCTTTAAAGTGCGGATCTTCAGGCACAAAAAGTGTTGTCCGCTGTTCGTAGTGGACACGCGCCCAGCAAGGCGGCAAGTCAAGCCGCAAGTCGTGCGTGTACGGCTGGCCTGTTGCCGGGTCCTTCTCTGAAAGTTGCTCAAGCAAAGCCTTCCGAAAGTCGTCAAGCGTTCCTGAAGAAGTCTGCTCAAGGCGCAGACGCAAAGTGTCCTCGGTGCTTTGCTCTTTGAGGCCTTTGTGGGCTGCTTGAAAAGTGGTTGTGGGGCCTTTGCTAAGGGTCCTGCTGTTGCTGAAGTGGCTGTGGTACGGGTTTGGGAGTGGGTTGCGGTAAAGTTGTTTGTTTTCCAACTAGCTTGCGGCCAGTGGGCTTGGAGGAAAGTTTAAAAACAGTCTTACCAGCAAAACGTTCTGGGGCAGGTCCTTTCGGATTATCTGCTTTACGCCAGTTGTCGGTGAAAGTCTCTTTTCTGCCATCGGCGTACTCAAAGTAGGTTACGTGTTCATCTGAAAGGTCTTTCAAGTCCACAGGGCGATCCTTAGTCCCCGCGGGAGAAACGAAAGTAGCTCTCGCTCTTTTGTGTATGCGGGTCAAAGTGTTACCCGAGAGCTCCCATTTGTCAATGTGATCCTGAACTACAGGCTTAAAGACTGGGGCCACAATAGTACCTTGTGCACTTTGTGTGTGAAAAGTGTTACACACAACCTCAAACTCTTCCTTGTTGAAAGGTGCCAAAGTGGGCCTCAAGAAAAGAAGTGAACCGTGCCTAGTGATGGGCACCTTGTGTCCATCAGGTGTTTCCAAAGTGTTCGCCTTCTTAGAAGAAAGGTTCACGTCAAAGCCTGACCTCAAAAGTCTGACAACAGACACCACACAGTAGGGAACGTCGCAAACGTAAAAGTGTAGAAAACAGGGCTGGCCGGCAACAGTGAGTTGCAGCACCTGAATCAAAGAGGATCCAAGGATCGGTATCCTCCAAAGTACAAGCAATCAAACGCTCCTCCAAAGCAACATCCTTGAAAGCCGTATTCAATTTCTGAAGACCAAGATCACCAACACTGAACAGTCGTTGGTTCTCATCCGTGCGACCATTCAAGGAGAAAGTCTCAAGCGGTGCCATATAGGCCGTAGGCTCAAAGTTTCCACACTCACCGAAACCACCGAAGTTGAAGTCTACAACTCCATTCGTCATCCCATCAACTCTGAAAGTGTTCCCCAAACCAAAGTTGCCGAAAACAACAGCCGACATGAGCAAAGTGCTCTGGCTGATGCTTGCCTTAGCTTTCGGTTTGGCTTTGGGGTCGAAAGTCCAGGTGGTCCTTGCAAAGTCACAGCCGACACGGGCAAAGTTGCCGCGCCGCTTGACGAGGAAGCCTCTTCCTTAGGCTTCGCCAAAGTTTCGGCCTTCGCCGAAGGAGCGGCCTCTGCAGGCCAAACTTCTGAAATAAAGTTCGAAAAGCAACCCCAAGGGTCAACCGAAGAATCCCAGGACCAAGCATCCCAGGACTAAAGTTGATCATCCCAAGTCTTATCCCGGCTGCTAGGGTCGTTGTAAAGTTCCAGTCGGACCAATCGTCCTCACCAAAGTGAGACCAATCTCCTGTGTCCTCCGATGGGTAAAGTTCTTCACCTTCAACAGCTGAAACACGGTAGTTCGGGCAGTTGCTCGAAAAGTGTCCTGTCTGAGTCTTACCACAAGTCCAACACACCGAAGTGGAGCTAGACTTTCCTTTTCCTTTCCCTTTTCCTTTGCCTTTCATCATAAAGTTCCAATGTTGTCCTCCTTTTCCAGACGACTTCGAAAAGTACTTTCCTTGTCCTTTTCCTTTTCCTTTCTTTCCTTTTCCTTTCCTTCCTTTTCCTTTCCACAAAAAGCTGCTGCTAAAGCACCAATGTCCATCGGAGCCGAAGCTCCACCAGCAAAAGTTGCGTTCGCCGAAGTTTGTGCAACTGGGTTCATCAAAAGTCGTGATCTGTGGTATTCAAGGATAGCCTCACGAACTTGAGCATAAGTAGCCAAAGTTTGGGCATTCAACCTGAGGTGTTGTTGTAGTGCTCCTGATGTCTTGTTCAGCAAAGTAGCAACAAGTACACCGTCAGGCAAAGGTTGTCCGGCTTGTCGCTCATATCGTGTCTTGATTGTTTCCCACACGTTAAAGTCTTGCTCAAAGGTTGCTGGGTTGAACTTAAAGTCCAACAACTGCGTCAAAAGTGACGTGCTCCGCGTGGCTCCTGGCAGCGAGAACTTCTTGTAGAGTCTTCTCCATGTCTCAAAGCCGTTGCTGTCCTCGTTCTGTCGAACAACAAGTTTCGCCGAATCTTTCACAAGTTGCGAAATCAAGTAATGTAGCTTTCTAGAGAAGAGTACTCGGTTGGCGGTCTGTTCCGGTTCTACATCACCTGTGTCCAAAGTGACTGTTAGATCAGCATCTGTAAAGTCACCTTGCGCAGCTGTGGGCATCTCGGCGGTGTCCATCAAAGTCACAGCACCTACCTCGAACATCGAAATGCACGCTTTAAAGTTCCATGACCATTCTTCCCAGTCTGCTGGGTTCCCTGAGAAAGTTTCTGGCAGAGGAAGCCGAAGCTTCCCTGTAAAGTTGTCTTCACCTCCTAGTGCCATGATGTTCTACCAAAGTTCCTTGGAGCTTTCAGCTCCGCTACCATGCGAAAGTACACTAGTCCAGAATGCGCACCAAACTTCCCTAAAGTAATTCCGTGCACAAGCTCGCACGACTGAGACCAAAGTAGCCCTGAAGTTCGGAAGCGCCTTTTGTCTGCAAGGGCAAAGTGGTCTTGAGCCAACGAAGGTTGGCAAAGTCTGTGGGAGAAGGGGACGTGTTATTTTCACAGAGACAGAGGGAGAGACATACATACATACATACATACATACGTACATATATACATGTATACATGCGTGCATGCATACATACATGCATACATGTACACACATATACACACTACATGTAGAGATACATCATATTGTGTACATACGTACAGACATACATACACATGTATATGCAGGCATGCGTGTGTTTGTTCTCTACCGGTGCGCTGCTTGTGTATACATAGACATCCAAGCATATGTATGTGATACATATGTATGTATAAGGCTATTCAACAATGAGCTCATGAACAACTGTATCATCTATGTGTATGTCATATGTACATACACAGGCATCCATAAATGCATGCACATATGTATTCATATTTATATACACATATAATACACGCATATATATATATACACATACTTCACATATTGCAACTGTATGTGTGCCTGCAGATATGTCCGTCATGTCTGCGAAGACAGAGAGAAGCAGGTTTCAAGTTCAATGGTGGGGCTGAAGCTTCGGGGTGCGTATCGGGGTGTCGGCGACAAGTGTGGCCACGGCGCCTGTGCGTGGGTGATGTAGGATCTGACAGCAAAGATGTCCCTGAGGCACAGCAAGATTTTGTCGACAGTTTCAGGACTCGCTAGGTGCAGTAGCATTTGTTTTTGGTTGGATTCTGAGACATTGGGGCTGTTTGGGAAAACCTCCCGCAGTCAGGTAAAGATTCTTCCGACGGCGGCTTTGGAGCAGGCGACCAGAACTCGGTTACTTGGGGTAGTGGACCGATAGTGTGCTCAGGGAAGAGACCGAGCTTGAACGGTTGAAGCAGGATATCTTCGAAACGCATGTGTAGATGGCCTGGGGCTGGTGTAGAATCAGCGAGGGTGCCGCTGAGACTCAGCATAGAAGCCATGGTGTGACAAGTCACGATCGATATGCAAAGATAAAGCGGTGGAGCCTGAACAAGATTCGCATCTCTTCCAATGCAACAGCCTGTGGCTTCGGGTTGATTTGTCGAGCATTTCCGAAACCCTCTGAGGCATTATAATACCTGGCTGACCCCAAACCTGCACATGAATGTGAGTTCCGATGGCAGATGGGCGGTGTCTATGGGGGTTTGGACTCGTCTACGCTGCTGCGGGTGGAAGATGCCGCGCACGAAGAGGCGCTGCTGCAGGATGTGTAGATTGTGGATGGACGAAGTGGCAGGCATTGGTGCCCCTTGATCGGAAGTGACTCCGGCAACACAGACTGAGACATTGGAACTTCGCATGCCTTACAGGAGCACACGAGTCTATAGTGTTCATGGAGCTTTGTTCCTCCCAAGTCATGCCTTCGGCATGGAAAGTGTCCTTCATCGAAACCTGAGACCTGACGCGTCAGAGCCCTCAGCCCTATAGCCCGCTTGGTTGATGCAGGTGGCACGCGCCGCCTTCAGAGCCTTTAGGCGCATCAGGGTGGTAGTTGCATTGAAGGCTTCAATCTGGTGATTTTCCCCCCCCCCCCCCCCCCCCTCTCTCTCCCCTCCCTCCCCTCCCTCCCCTCCCTCCCCTCCCTCCCTCCCTCCCTCCCTCTCTCCTCCTCTCCCTCTCTCTCCCTCTCTCTCTCTCTCTCTCTCTCTCTCCCTCTCTCCCTCTCTCTCCTTCTCTCTCCCTCTCTCTCTCTCTCTCTCTCTCACACTCTCGCTGTGCTCAACGTTCCCAAGCCCGATTGACCTTGCTTTGCCGTGCCTCGACTCTGCAACCTGCCCATGTCGATGCTCCGGGAATTGCGATTAGCATGCATACTACTGTATACTGTGACATGCGGAGTCACCATCAGGTGAAGAGGAACTATTATGTTCCAGCATCCGGTTTGCAGCAAGGTCTCGTTCTGGAAAAATCAGACATCGAGTTATGAATCCAAGCCACAGTGTGAAGGGCAAGCGGAGTTGAACGCAAGCTCACCACTTCAACTTGAGCCTTGGAGCCATACTTAAGATCTTTTGTTCTTGGCATCAAACTGCGAGCCGCAAATTTGTGGGGCAAGGCTTCTCAGGTCGGGATCTGCGACTCTCCAAGTCTATGACACTGAGAACTACTCGTACCTGTTCTTCCCGATGGCAGGGCCTTCTGCAGGGAGTACGACCTCAAAGCCAAGCTGATCAGCAACAAGTCGCGGGCCGACATTCAGAACTCGGTTTTAGGGGGATGTGTGAACCTGCGGTTGGTTGTGCTGTAACACGGTGCACATGTTCGACTCAAAGCTCGAGCAGCAGCAGGTGTCAGTGTTGGTTTCCTAAATTCCTGCCAGTACATTGAAGTTTCGATTTGCAGGGTTTTGGTCCTGCACTGCGGTCGCATTGTACTGCCCCTTACGTGGGACCATGGTCCTTTGGCGTGGTCTTGGCCTTGTTTGGGGATGTGACTGTTCTCGGTTCTATGCTGGAGTGATCGAAAATTGTTGGACTCGGAGGACCTGCTCAATCAGGGTTCGGGATGCACGTGAGGTCAGGGAGAGTTCAATCTGTGAGCTTGTGGACACACTGCAGCCAGAACGCCCGAAGGTACACCGTGACCGATTTGCGGGCGATGGACACACAGGGTCAGCCGACAGATTTTGCGGCACGTCGCTGAGATATTTGCGATGTTCCAGATGTTTGGAACCATGGTTCCACTTGCTGACTTCCACGAGATCCTTTGTTGCTAACGTAGCCAATCACGACACATACAAGCAAAGTCCGTGGAGCGGCGAATCAAGTTTTGGAGTTTGCCTTCGCGGCAGAGACTGAACGCAGCTATGAAGCTAACAGCTCAAGATTTTTCCCTACATGTTGTTTCCAACATCTCATCTCAGGTGTGGGTCTCACAAAGAAGCATGAATCAGTGGAAAAAGGCCCGGCCTCATGAGAATTCACGACTTTTCACATCTCCTCTCCCGCTGATGTTGCCTCGCAACAGCAGTCAGGATCGATTCGTTTGAGTTTGGGAGTTTGGGTGTTGTGAATCGAAGCCGCCCAGCCTGCAGATAACATTTCGATATCTAAATGTATATCGCCAATCATGAGCCATTTGGCTCCTCCACATGTCCGGTAAGAGCAACCGTGAACTATCAGAGTTAGATGCCCAAACAACTGCCTGCAGGTCACAGGTGAGAGTCGGGAGACAGTCCCGAGGCCGGGGACTGGCTTCGCATGTTTAAATGAGCAAGAGACTGCACTCACCAGGAGCTTCGAATTTAACGTTTGACATAGTATGAGTTTCATCAGGCCAAAATAAACTGACAGCCTGCACTGGGGCTGGCAGTCTGCAAGTGGAAGAACGGCTGTGAGACACATCGGGCCAATGAACGCTCCAGACGTCGAACGAATAGGAAGGAGCCCTTGAGCGACATCAAGCCGACAAAGACTGATGGCATGCACAGGTTGCACACGGAACAGATTGGCGTGCCTCATGTTGAAATTGACAATGCGAAACACAACGACCCGGTACGGATTGGCAGCTGACGACGTCACGTCGGTGTGAAAGCGAAGGAGCTGCTCTCGCGGACAGTCTGGGCATGCAGCTTGCGTGGGAGCTAGTCGAGCACCTAGTAGTAGAGTCGGTAACCTTTAACCTTTTGTGGGTAGTATAGTCCCTATATAATCCTTATATACCCGAAAAGGTTGACCTTTAGTTCCCCATGATACCCGACAAGTAGGAGCATGTCCGAGCAATGCAGCCTGCCAGCGCAGCACCCCCGTAACCACCACGAATCGTTGTTGCTGTTACAAAGCTTTATCTACCCCGCTGAACTAGAGACGATGTAGACCGAGTGTTGGGCAGTTAAATGGTCAGGCACCGACTCTGGCGGCATTTCGTCCGGGAGGCCTTGCAGCCTTTTCCCTCAACGATGACGATTGAGTAATGTTTCTCTGGATCGTAATCCTACGAAGAGATCAAGCTTGAAGGGATCGGCATTCAGGTAGGAATACACTACAGGCTTACGGCAGATCGGCCCAATACATCATCTTCAGTGTGTGAAAGCATTTTGCGGTGCACTAGAGCCAGCACGAGCAATGCGAAGGTGCAAGAGTGCCGATTTGGCAGAGCTGAGCCAGCGACCCTGCATTCCGTCGAGCCAAGGGAGGTGCAAACCTCTTTGAGGGAACGTTTGCGCATCATCACTGTATAATGTTTGGACAATACACGGGCTGTACACAACCGCGCTTGCACGTGCTGACCTTGAGGAAGGCGTCTGTCGTTATGGCACCCCGATACTGGCAACATGTGCAACTATATGACTTATCAGATATGCATCCGAACCTTGTATCATGCAATCTTGGATTGAAGGATAGTACGTACTTGTCGCCTCGGTCAGCACCCGAAACCTCCGCTAGCGGCTCGAAGACGTAGTGTAAGCCCTTCAGCCGAATCATGCTGTTCACCCCAAGGCCTGCTGAGAACAATGACGTGCCCGATGTGACTTGCCTGAACATGGTAAACAATCCAGGTTCGACACGTCATTGGTTTGGTCGCAATGATTTTACCGATAGGGACAGGACCGTGATTTATGCCAAGGGGCCCTGTCCGGGGCAAGAACACAAAGAGGAGAACGAGAAGGAGCAGCTAAGTTAGTGTCACAGTCTGCTCATATGGTCATCATCATCATAGTTCTGACTACAGGGATCTTCGTTCCAATGACAGTGACACTGCAGAAGAAGATGCCGCTCATTCTGGCGTTCTGGCTGCAAGCATAGCAATGAGGACTGTCACACCTACCTTTGTACCATGGCATAGCTTTGAATGATGACCAGATGTTGCATCCAGCTGTGTGTCAAAGCTAAAGCCAGCTGCAGAATGCTTGTGCGTACCACTGAAAGATGTTCAACTGTCTATGTGTGTCAGGGCTCCGACGTCGAGGAGGCCACGGGTGTCGATGGTTGTGGTGCTCAACCCTGCTCTTAATCCTGTGAGAGCTGTCCTGAAAAAGGTTCGGTGGCCCCCAGACTCGAGACCAGCTCAGATTCGACTGCTGCATTGCTAACCTCCCTTTGTGGCAGGTTGCTGCTGAAGGCGACACTCGAATGGAGATCCCTGCAGATGTTCGCGAGGACAAGGGAGTTGCGGCCGGGTCTGAGGTTTGGACGTGGAGTTTCAAGGGATCCAAAAACGCATCACATCGAATCCTGCACTTGTGTTTCTGGTTGCTTCCAGGACGGACTTGAGACTCAAATCCTCAGAGCCTTGAGAGGCTGTTTTGCGTAAACGGCGGATCTCTCATTGTGCACTCATTCAATAGTGGTAGAAATGCCCCAAGCTTGCGACCCTGCATACCACAAGACATTGATGCATCTTCAGGTCCGTACAAGGCAGCGAGAGAGGGAGAGAGAGAGAAAGACAGACAGACATAGACAGACACACAGACACGTCCCTGCTTGCACCCTCTAATTTCACGGCATTTTGAGCCCTTTGACAAGGCGAGACTAGACCCTCCTTGCTGCCTTGCCCTTGCCGTTCGTCAGGCTGTTTGCACACTGCACCCGAAGACAAACATGTTGGCAGGCTCGCGAAGTGCTGAAGCCTCTGAACCCAACGTGGATTGAGGAACTTGCACATTCCAGTGACACAGTTCCGGCATCCGCCATTGCGCGCTTTGCGAGTGGGCGCACGAGTGTTATTGAATTAGCGATTCCTTCCTGTGCCAGGGCTCTTGTGCGACCATGGCCTGATGTGCCGAGTGCGCGCTGCGTGCTTGGTGGATAGAAAGGCGCGAACGGGCCTTGCCGGCGTTTGGAGGGCACTTTTCGGATCCCCTTTCTTCCTGCTTAATTTCCTTTGCGTGGAAACACCCATCTGAGCAGCACTTTGCCAACGAGATAGCATCAGGACCCAGTTTCAACACGTCAACATCTTGTTTGTATTCCCTCTTTTGACACGGAACACTATGTGATCATAACTGATCATAGCAAACGTTTACCCGTTTGCCATCTTGGAGGCCGACTCGAGGCTGTAGAGGGAACTCTCACACTGGGCCCCTGTCTGGTGAGGACATGGAGGCGCTGCTGCAGGCGCCACTGTCGCGAGCCTTCGACATGGTTGCGGTTAGTGAGTTGATTCAGAGGTTGTGCCTTCGATGTCAAATGACAACGCAAGCTTAGCCCAACCTCGCTCAGCCAGTATCCCAGCAACTGTGTTCCAGGACAGATGCTAGGGGAGGGGTGCATATCAGGAGCATGGCAATGCCATTACATCCACAATGTCATTGATGTTCTTTCATTGCGAGTCATGCGCCTCCTGTCTGGGAGACTGACTAGCAATATGACGGCCAAAGGAGCCGGTTGATGCAATGAAAGAGACTTGACTCCGTGACCACCACCATCCTCTTCATGCATTCATGCACCGTCTGAAGCCCGCTTCAGCCTCATAATGGCTGGCAGCGCGCCGCAGTTATCTTAAGCGAGCTGCAGCGAGGGACAGCACAAAGTACAAGTCAAGTTTGATGAGGGGCTCCACAGCTCCAGTACATGCGACTTCACCTGAAGCTGCAGATGCAGAGCAGACGTTTGGCCAAGCAACCCAAATCTTCTGATACTTGGATCATGAACTATTCATCCGCTCAGGACGCCCTTTGTTTGCACAGTCCGTCAGGCGTCCGAAGAGAAAGACAAGTTCTGGAGCTCAGAGGGCCTTCGACAGCAACTTGCAAGTGCTTCCGTTCGGAGTTCGTTCAGAATGTGATATTTCACTATCCTTGCTCTGCGCATACAGATCCGCACGCCCGTACGCGGACACACGCACACGCACACAGGCCTCGGACGTAGCCAGAATTTCCTCGGAACTCACAATCTTTTCCCGAGGGCCTTCCGAGAGCTTTGGCCCGAGTCACCGAGCTCTGCCCGGCCGAAGCTGAAGACAGGGCCGTGAGCTTGGCAAAGCGAGGGGAGACTTTTGGGGATATGCAAAGTTACAAAGGCTCCTGAATTAGGGTCTTGGCATTAAGAATGCAGTAGGACCTGTGGCTGAGGATAAGATGCCGAGGTTAGGATTCGTTGTCTTGGGCCTTGAGTTCTACATGTTATTGCAACGGTGGTCGAGATTCCGAGTGTTCAGCTGCATTTTCCGGCGCAGCCGTCTCCTACATGTCGACATACAACCGCTTTGAATTGGGTGAGGATCCTACCGTTAGCTTCCAACCCTAGGAGAGCTCGACTGCACCCTGCCTGTGGTGACATAACCTAGTTCTTTCCTTTGACCCAACTTTCCAGCTGCCGTGTTGGCTTACTGCGACACGGTGCGACAAACGATGAACGTGTACAGTCGGAAGCCAGGGCGAGTTGCTGAAGCATGGCTCAGATTTTGCTTCACTTGCTGCATTCTGGCAGGCACTTTGCACTGTGAGTGTTTTTTTGACACCCAGGAGCTCGTGCAAAATTTGAGAGGAATATACAGGATCATCGCAAGTCTACCCCGGTGGTGAGCGATGGCCAGTCGGCGCAGCCGCGAACGAAACGGAGCGAGGCGGAGATGAACACAGCAGCAGATGCTGCAAAAACTGTTCTCAAAGCAGGGATCCATTGAAGACCTACTGGGTTGGCGAGGGCTTGCAGGACATGTAAGCTTGTCGCACATGCAGTATGTCGAAGGCTTTGATCGAATTGGTGCCGATGGGCATGGTGGAGGTAGTGTGTGTTTACCCCGACTCCTGGTGTCTAGTGGGCTTAGTCCTGTGGGCAGCATTCCATCGCGGGTGCATTGTCACAGCTGCCGAGTGTGTCGTGGGCAAGTAATCACCCGAGAGCTACATGAAGTTTTTCCAACGTTTGTAAAACTTGCATGGCTCGTTTCGCCAGTGGCAACAGAGACAGTCAAACACATGTTGGTTGTTTCGTGGTCTCTAAGAGGCGTAGTCGCAGCCGTCGACGTGACCGGCGGCGGCCAGAGCGGAGAAGAGGCTGTGATACTCGGGGGCTGATCGTCTTTGGGTGCTTGTGCTTAGCTATGTAACCAGCTGCAAGCCAAAGGGAACAAACCAGGCATTTGCATAGTTGCGGTGACATGGCGCCTGCGGTTCTACATCAAGTCGCATCACAGACCTGCAGGGTCACGTGCCTTATGATAGGGCAAGGGATAGACTTGCTCAGGCTGCCCTGTCGCCGTGTTCCCTATTCCCGTATTGAATCTAATAATTGTCAAAACATGGACGCCCGCACCCCTTCGCCCTCGCATGATCGCGTAGCGGCCCAAAACCAAAGCCGTCATAGACAGCAGATACACCGGAATCACAAGACTCCAACATCCCGGTGACCGTCATTAGGTTCATACTAACGAATAGAATTCGTCCACATGCGCAACATATCAGCTTTGCTCAGCGCATGAGTTGGGGATTCTCTAGCACCGTCAGCGATGCAGAGTACGTACATCCTTGGAAGCAGTAGCAACCCTCCCAGAAGGCCTTGCAATAGTCCACGAGGCGCCTCGTCTCCCTCGTCCACTTCTTCGGGCGCCTGGACTCGGATCAGGGAATCAGAGGATTGCGGTATGCCGTTTGCCTCGGAAGCCAAGGCACCCGAGGCTCTGAAACCAGAGCTGTCACATGTTCCGACAAACCCTGACTGTACTTTTGGAAGAGTCCAGGCTCGTCGAAAAGAAAGATATCCCGCACTCCGGCGTCGAAGTTCGACGAGGTGAAGGTGAAAGCGACTTGATTCCGGTCTGCAGCTTGTGCCACTGGTGTCGATCGCTTCTTTGACTGCCTCCTTTCTGGCTCGAGACGCTCTTACGACCCAGAAAAGAAAGCGGGCCCCGAGATCACGCCCCATAGACCTGAGACTCCTAGCCACAAGCCACACCCCGACCCTGAATCCTGCACCAACTGCCGAATACCCCACCATATCTCGGGTTTTGTCGAGCCAAACTTGGAGAAAGCACCTCTACATTCCCAAAAACTTCTTGCATTTCCGGGCCGTGACTTGGCCCATTCCATATCAAGGCGGTCGACACTCGGAGTTGTCCGGGAAGGCTCTGCCTAGTATGACTAGTATGTTCTTGGTATCTGACTTTTTTCCACTCATCGTCTGAATGACTGGGGTTGATGGGAGAACAGGGATTTAGGATTTACTGTAGGTCTCGAGTACGCCATTTGTTCGCGCTGTGCCCCGCCGGTGCAGCTGGCAACCTGTTTCTGGTGGGCGCAGCTGTCTTCCGCACTGAAGTGGCATCTCGGCCCAGAAGGTCTGGACGTTGAACGGGGTTAGTTACATATTGGATCTGTGGCTCATGATTGGCCCAAGGAAGCTTGGGGCATCTCTTTAAATGGGCTTGGACTGCAGGACGATGCAGGACGCCAGGTGGTTTCATGGTTTTCACTCAGCGAACCGGCAAGGTAAGGCGTATGGGTATGGGCCCAGAACCAACGCCTGACAAATCGTAGACTCCGTTGGCGACTTATGATGGCCTTCGTTTACGGCCCAGGTACCTCAAAAATATCGAAGATCTGCTGCTTGATGCAAGCTAGCTGGAGCAAGATGTGTTCGACGACGGCAGGCATTGGAGGTGTAACGATGACCAGTCAGTCAAAGCCGGGTTTCGAAGCTTCAAACATGATCTTGGAATACTCTCTATGTTACCGGCATGCGTTGAATGTTCTTTCACGACGAGTTGCCGCGAACACAAGGTGCTGCGAATTCGTGCCAAGCAAGATCGAGACGGACACCAAGGAATCGGGTCCTATCCACTTGACTGCTCGATGGAGTGCACTGTGAGTTTTGCGGTATTTGACTAGTCGTCGTGAGCTCGTGCTGAAGTTCAGCTATGTAGAGTTATTCCAACAAACAGCGTCCCTGAAATTTCTGCATCCCGATCGAAGATGTTCTTGAGTGCATTTGCAGGAGGATCCAGCAAATCATTGATTTGCAGCTGGTGTGTCGAACATGCGCTTTCACTTGCACGAATCCCTCTTGCCGTCAGATTGTCAAGCTGACTGAGATGTATCCTCGTTCGGAGTTTTAGTGTTCTTATCACCTCTACTCCAGTGTGAATCTCACATTCTCTCGCCAAGGTATGTCTACCGCCTTCAGCAGCCTCTGCCAGCCCCACGGCAGAAGGCCGCCAACAACGCCAGGCACGTAAATTGTGTGAACTCGACATTCCTGCGGTCTCCAGCTCGGCAACATGCACAATCTCGCCGGCCAGTGAGCTCTAGGAGGCGCGCACTGCGGGTGGCCAAGCGCTCGGTACCTGTTCGGCGGCGAGCGCCCTGTCGCAAGTCGAAAGGACAGAGGGCGAGGGCCTGGCCCGAGTGATGAATATCCGGTTTGCTGAGGACGCTTGGAAAGCCCTGCACAGTTGTGCTAAACCACGTTCGCAAGTAGCGTCGCTCCGTTCAAGGGCTCCTTCCGCTCGAGTCGACTCGAACACACATTGCAACAATCATTTCCACCCCGTTTTCCCGCCGAGGTGCATCTCGTTTCACGTCGAGTGACCCGACAGAGTTGGCCTTTCACAAACTTGGCAACAGGAATCCTGGTGATAGCCATATATAACAGAGCAGCAGCAACACATAGCTCATCATAGCCATGACAGATCTATCCGCTCTACAGTGCATATTCACAATGTCAAGAGTCTGAGTGTGGAAGAATCATAAACTCTACTGGCAGAAGGAACAGCAGTTTGAACGCAATGGAGCTAGTGCTCTTCTGGGGTTGTCTGGATTGGCTGGGGGATTGCGTGAGGTGGGACGTTGCCGGTAAAGCATTAAGATGCTTTCTGTGGCTGGAGCTTGTGTGTGCGATCCTGATTGTCGCACCCCTTCCAGTGATTCCGCACCTGCAAGGCACACCGGCTTAGGGATGCCGCTCGACCCGCAAGCAGCTTTTTGAAGTGCTCCAATTTCGAAGGCTTAGGATTAGGGGTGCAGGGATGCCTGGGACCCGTGGGCTTTCCGAACTTCAGAGACTGACGAGGTTTCCAACCCCTCAAGATATGAATTTTAGATGGTGTTTCGGCATCATCACCAAACTTCGGTGGATTCCCAGCAGCATCTCACTATGCTGAATCCTCCCATGCTGTGGGCTGCAATGCAATCGGAAAAGTTTCGAATGGCACTCTTCGTGGCCAAGGTCCCCGCGTCCTCTCCGCGTACCGGGTGCGGGGCTCAGGGGCTCCAGGTAATCTGGTTCGGGTCTGGGTGTGAGGACTGCATTCGCACAGGGTTTCGGTGTGTGGGATTTCGGATTGGGTTCTGGCTGTTGGAGCTGGGAGTCTGGTTGTGACCGTACCCTTCACTGAATGAGTGCTGAACTTGTCTACGACCCTCAAAACTGAGAGCAACGACGCCAACATGGTGGCAAGGCTTCTCATCGCAGCCAAAAGCCCTCGAGGTGGGTTGAGCCGCCACCAGTTCCTGGACCGGGTGAGCGGAAACGAGCATCCAAGCTTACAATAAGTGGGTTCTTTGGTTCGGGCACAGGAGTCTGTGGTTAGGTTTTATAATGTGGAGTTTCTGAATCCAGGGTCATTGCATCTGGTTTGACTGAGATTTTAGACAGAGAGGGCCTTACGGCTCTATGGACGGAAATTACAACCTCCTTTCCTCGGGGTTCGATGTCAGGCTGCCCCCGTAGCTTAATTGCTTAACGAGGGCCCTGGATCCTATATGGGCTGTGCATGGCTGTGCGGAGGTAAATCGCGGTGCTCGCTTCAAGCCCGGCTTTGCACAACCAGATCATCACGAGTGCGTTTTGGAACTGAGGATGCAGCCCTGCATGGCAACAGGTCCCGCTAGATTCTTTCTACTCTATCCTGCGCACATGCATCACCACTTACCACAGCTCCTTGGATGACAAACCTGCGATCACAAATCCGGTGCCCAAACTTCTACTTGAGAGCCCCGTTTGAATGGCAATGAGACTCCTTTCCGCAGCCTTTCGTCAGTTTGTATGGTATAACTAGTGATGGCAAACGTCCGTGGAGGTCATGCACCACCCGCCTTGAAGCCTGTGCGAAACGTCGCACGAAAGCTGAAGTTGAAGATGCAGGTCCTATCTCCCAGTAACCCTCAGGATGCCCTCCGAAATCTACCTTGCTGGACGCCTCGATCCTTAATGTTGGGCTGGTCTCCGACTGTAAGGAGCAAGTCGTTGACCGCCTTCGCTTGCGTCTCGTCAGTCGACGTGCAACACAGCTTATCGTCGCTTGGTGGCAGTGAGGACTTCCTGTGGTGGGGCGATATTTGTCGAGAGCAGGGGTTCTTGGTTCACTCGGGTAGTTTCGGAATGTGTCGGTGTGTATAATGTCCCGACAGGTTAATTACATGCATGCCCTAACCCCTCGACGGGTCCGGTCTGGCAGGTGACCATCCTTCTGGCTGCCTGTATCTGAACTTTAAACTCTCAAGTCAAATGCTGCCGCACACCAACTATCCTGCTCTTGATTTATCCGCTAACACGAGAGGCGCCTCAGAACTGGTCTGTGTTTCGTTATGTGGCGGGCCTGCAGTCATCAGTGTTTCGCCGTGGAGCAGCTGCCCTCAAAATGCAAGCGAACATACTGCAATAACCAGCAAAGAGCAAAGACGGCCAACGAGCGGTGAGAAGAAAACGAAGGCAGAGAAGCAGAAACGAGGCAGGCGTTGCAAACGGGGGGGGAACCGAAGGAGCAGGACGGGGGCAAGGTGGTGTGAGGGACCTGCGGACCAGTCACAAAACCATCAAGAGCCCAGGTCCTCTGACCTACCCCTCCAAAATGCCCAAACCTAGAACGCAATCAGCCGTGGAGGTGGAGGAGGGGAATCAAGGGGATGCCTTCCTTACTTGGTTACATGGATCCGATCTAGACGCGCGGTCTCCGGCCTCGGCGGATTTCCGTCCCGCTCTGGCACGGCAACGGCATCTTTTAATCGCAACATCCATCTGCTTGTAGATGGCCAGAAGGCCAGCTGCACCGCATGGCTGCTCGCTTCTTTGCTCCTGGTATTGTAAACAACTTTGGGGCTTGCAGCGTTTGACTCTGTTTTGTCCACAAGCATCCACTATGTTGTTACTGCTGTAGACATTGTTGTTACTATTACGGTCCGTATACGGTCAGTATTAACTCTTGTGATTGCTATGATTATCCTTTGTTAATATGTATATACTGTGTATATATATATATATATATGAATATATGTATATGATCATGTTTAGCATTTGACGATCATTATTCTCACGTCCGCTCACATTATTCTCAGTGTGATTACGATTAGTATTCTTGGTAGTAGTATCAGTGTTATTACTGTTGTTCTTATTATCATTGTTGTCATTATTCGCATTGCCATTATCATCATTAGTACTATTACTATTCTTGTTGTTGATGTGCTTTTTAATATCAGTAGTATTGTCATTAGTACTGTTATGAGTGGTAGCAGTAGTTGCAATGACAGCGTAAGTAGCAGTAGCAGTAGCTGCAGTAGAATAAGTAGTGGTGGTAGTAGTGGTGGTGGTGGTAGTAGTAGTAGTACTAGTACTAGTACTAGTACTAGTACTAGTAGTAGTAGTAGTAGTAGTAGTAGTAGCAGTAGTAGTAGTAGTAGTCGTCGTCGTAGTCGTCGTCGTCGTAGGAGTAGTAGTAGTACGGTGGATGGAGGAAATCTTGCACCACCTACAAACACTGTTTCGGGTGCACATCCAAGCAACAACAGTAGTAGTAGTAGTAGTAGTAGTAGTAGTAGTAGTAGTAGTAGTAGTAGTAGTAGTAGTAGTAGGAGTAGGAGTAGTAGTAGTAGTAATAGTAGTAGTAGTAGTAGGAGTAGGAGTATATATGTGCCAGCATCCGCGCACCCCCCCCCCCCTCCCCCCCCCATGGTAATCCCCCTCCCCCCCCCTGTGGTTCCTGTGGTTCCCCCCCCCCCTGTGGTTCCTCTTGGTTTTCCCCCTCCCTTTTGTGGTTCTTCTGGTTCCTGTCTCCCCCCTCCCCCCCTGTGGTTCCTGTGGTTCCTCCGCGTGGTTGCTGCTGCTTTGTTGTTGCTGCTGTTCTTCTTCTTGTTCTTGTTCTTGTTCTTGTTGTGTGGTCGCCCGGGTCGGGGGGGGGGGATACCATTGGGGGGGGGGGGGGGGGGGGGGTCGAGAACGCGGAGCGCGGGCACATATGGGGGTATGGCGAGTCTCTCCGTCTCTCCTATTGCACTTGTATGTACATACCACTTTTTTCACATATATATATATATATACACACATGCATGATTCACTATACGCACGCTGCAGCTCGGAATTGATCTTTTTGTGACCTGTTGATCGCCAAATCTCCAAGGAAGCGCTCGAGCGGCGGCATGGTGAGCGATGGTCCGAACATGTGAAAGCAGGCCAGAGTCTTTAGACGGTTTAAGTTTTGAGGATTTAGGGTTCAGGAGGGTCAGGGTCATTTTGGGGCTCTGAAAAAGATATGATATAAAGGGTTCGACCAGTTTGTCGCAAGTGCTTCTCGTGCGTTCCCACGCCACCACTCAGGTCTGGGCTTTCGGTCAGAGGGATTTTGCATTCAGGCAATCAGTCTTTTGGTAGGGGTTTTCGTACAGTCGCAGTAGTTTCATTTGCATTGAAAAGCTTGGCAAGGCTTGGATTCATGACTGGCTGCCCTGGTGGTCCTTTTAACTACGTATGGTGCGGAGTGGTGCGGACACCACCCGATCGATGGTCAGTAAGTGCAGGGCTAGAACAGGTATGAACAACTGTCATCGGTTTTGCCGCTTACCTACAACGCATTTGCTTTTGGTGGGAGTCGAGAAGGTGACAGGCTTGCACTGAAGTCGCGGCGAGGGCAACTCAAACGAAGCTTGTGGAGGTGGTTTCCACGTCGATGAGGCCATGCGACGCATTTGCGAGGCCAGTGCTGCTCTGTCACACAAACTCCGATCTCTTCAAGGGCCTTTTCTGAGTGTTTTCGGGAAATTATCTGCACGGCCGAAAGCAGAGGAGAGGGGAACAAGCTCTCAAGCATCCCCCGTTTGCACTCAAGCTCTCTGCACAATAGGCTGTCATTGAATGCCCATGAAAGCCACGGACGCAATTTTGTTCAAGGAATAGCTCGATTGCTTGCCGCACTGGCGTGACTGGTGTTCAGAGCCGGATGTGGCAGGGTCTACTTCTGCAACTGGCTGCGTAGTGCGTCTTCGTTCTTGATGTCCATGCTGCTCTTCGGGCATGTGAGCGTTACGGGCTACTACTTTGTCTAATGAGAGCTCTTGCCACCCTTGAATTCGATGGAGCCGCCATGCCGGCCGCTACAAGCGGCTCAAGTCTTCGCAAGATTGAAAATAGCAAATAGCTAATCCATAAAAGCCTTTGAGTTCATCTTCGATGCCTGCTCCAGGCCTTCCAACTGCGGCCCGAACTGGAGCGGCAGGTGCAGTGTGTGTGTGTGTGTTGGTGTGCGCTTTCTTTCCTGACTCTACTGTTCAGAACTTCGTTTTGAAAGTCTATACAGGGCGAACCCGGTTCTCCATTTCAGCCACCAACGAGCTTCGCACTGAACACCAAGTGCTGGGTTTTCAGGAGGGTCTTCCGGCGAAGTCCACTGCTTCGGTGCTTTGTACAAATGTGCTCACATCAAACACTGTTGCGGACTCCTGACCTGGAGAGGCATGGTTTCTCCGTGCCGTCTGTTTTGTAACCTCGATTCAGCCCTCTCCAGCCCGCCATCTCCAAGATATCCCGGGATCTTAAAAAAGCTCAATCGCTGAATTGTTTTTTTCACGCTATGCATCTTGCCAAGCATGCGAGGTTCTTGCTTTGGCCCGGCGCCGCGCGCAGGGCTGGCAGGAGTCGGCCTCAGTCCTGTTGAATTTGTGTTTGAAGGTTTCGGCTTCTTCAGAATTGTCTATTGTGTTGGTTTTCTTCAAGCTGCTTGTATGCCAATGTTCCGTTGACCCTTCTGTTTGTAGTGGCTTGGAGGCTTGGAGACCGCAAGCCCAACAGCGTGGCCAAAACCAAACGAAGAATTCGTAGACCCCAAGCAGAAGGCCCTGAAAGCCGTGAAGCCTTCGCCCCAGCCCCCGGAGCCTCACAGCACCGGATGCAGGCAGCCTCGGAATGCTCTGCGTCCCCGAGCGGCAGCGACGGCGAACAGCCGGCCATGCCGTCCAGGCATGCGCTTCTAAAGTTTGCACCGGTGACCTGCTTGGTTGCTTGGTCACGGTCAGACCTGAAGCTTTCAGAGTCCTGGTAAAGGGCAAATTGCTCGATGTCTGGTTGTGCAGTGCCTCTGGCTCTTTTGGGGGGGATGTCGAATCTTCAGTGCCTTGAGACTTGCGACTTGCTCCTGTAAAGAAGAACCAGTCCGTGTTGCTGGTGACAGCAGCGATGGTCTTCGGCGCTCTCGTCTGCTTTGGGGACTGAAGTCTGGGTCGCTCGAAGTGAAACGAGCAAAGAAACTCCTGCACAACCAATCCGGTGCTTCAGTGAGATCAGTGAGCACGAACAAGTGAACAGCGTCCTACATCGCGAAGCGTTGCGGGTGCAGTCCTTACAGACCGTTTACCCGTCAGGAGTCACCATAAAGATTGTCTTAGAAGCTGGTTTGAAGTTCTGCGCTACACCACTGTAGTTGCCACCAGTATCAATGAGGTGCCGAATGCAAGAGTATCTCGTAAATGAGTCAACGTCATTCGGACGATAAGTTTCGCTCGTAGATTACTAGTTACTAGTAAGAGTTCCAGGAATGACTCAGTGTTTGTGAACAACCTCGCATGAGCCTATCAAGCCCGTCCATCTCGCGGAAGCTGTCTGCGACGTTTTGCGTGTTTTTGGACACAGTTGAAGCTTCTCAAAAATTGCATTTTGCCTTGTGCTGCATGTTTCAATCTTGCATTTTGAAGATTGCAACCGAAGACTCAACAAGAAAAGCAGGCCAGCGCACTGTTCCAAAATCTCACAACATCAGCCTGACTCGCAAAAGCTGCTCGAGGCTACACGAACCGAGCACGTTGGGCTTCGGCACCCTTGTCAACACGTGCAAACCAAGCGCTCCAGCCGCCTTTGAAACCAGTGTCATTTCTCAGTCAGAGCACCCAAAAACAGAAAATTCTTCATCCTCCAAGGATTCCAGAAGACGTCCGAGGCCCTTCAGGCCGGAAACCCCCCAGCACGAATCGCTGTAGGCCGGGGCCCTTGCACAAGTTGGTCCTGGTGGAACACAGCTTCGAAGATGGCCCAGGCGAGGAGCTTTGAAATGGTCTGGCGGATGGGAGCTCCAACACCCCCTCGAAACTCCTGACATCTCTTAGCCGGTCCTAGCCCAGGAGACCCCGCCTCGCATGACAAGAACCTTTTCAATATCAGGCTGCAGAGTATCTATAATTAATCTAGATTTGACACCGTGATTAGATCATACTGTTCGCTTTTCCCGGTTATGTTACAGCATGACAACATGCAGGCTCAACCAGGTCGACGGCCTCGACAGCATCCTTCGGATCGCTCTCATCACCTTCCGAAGATGAGGCTGGCCTTTTCAACCCCGGACTCTTCCACTTCGGTCACTTTGCTTGTTTTCTGCGCTGCTATCCCCTGCATGTGCAGGCCACACTAAAAGATCCTAGCGATCTGCCGTGGCAAGTGGCCGGGCGTGAAGGGCACAATGTGAGGGTAATCACCGTAAGTCCCAGGCATCAGGCCAAATGTCAGGTCCGAGCAGGAGGAGGAACTGCCGTTGGAGACGGTCCCCGATTTTGCTACCTCCCCCTTCCCCCGGACCGGATAGAGCAGCTGACTTAAGCAACGCCAAGATTTCTGAACATTGAGAGTGTCGCATGGCCAACCGTCGTTTTGGGAATCCGCCCTCCTGAAATGCTAAGACAGGAGGACTAGCAGTTGGCAGCGTGGAGTGTAGACTTTACCTTCTGGGACGGAGCACTTATGATGCCGAGGTCCCAGATCCCGCCGAAGACAAACCCGGGCCCTCACAGTGCCAGAGGCTGCCACGACGTCTTCCATACCTTTATCATGGGAGTCGGCATAATTATACCACTCGAACCGTGTTTCTTGGAAATCTTATATTGAACCGCAGAAAGTTGGAAAACGGATCTAGGAGGGTTTGTGCCCAATATTCAGGCTTCTACTTCAAGTCCAAACCCTGGCGCCCCAACTCTAGCACGCATCGGACCAAGGAGATTGATTGGTTGATGGATTCAACTCAACGACATTGCCTCGATGGCGGGCCAAAACTGGGAAGGCTATGTTCCGCTCTCTAGTTCGTCTTTGAACTAACTTCTGTGAGTCTAGGCTGATACATTCGGTCAACTCGTCGTGGTCTGTCCGCGCAAATCTCCGTAGGACCTAACTTCTAACACTTTGCAGGATTCAGCACAAGAGTCGACACATTCAGAGCAAGTCGCAGGGCTCCCTGGCTGCAGCGTGCTTTGCGCACGCTGGACTTGGATCCGCCTGGCGCGAGGTGCATCGCAGCCGGGGAATAGCCTGAATAGCCGTCAGACAGGACTTGCCACGATGTTGCAGGCCTTGTCCCTAAAGAGTCGGCACTTTTCCCGGTTGTGATGTGCAGTTGTTTGAGTCTGTTACGGGTTGAGGTATTCTTTCCGCGGCTGGAACAAAGTCTTGGAGTGTTTGTCCTGAAACCTGAAGCCGGGGAGGTGCGCGACGCCGCCGGCGCCGGCGAGAGAGGCTACGGGCAAGTGTGCAAAAGGGGCATGGCGGAGAAGCGGATCAGTGCATCTCGTGTCAAGGTTTGAAAGTTGTTTGACAGAGGTTGGAGAGGGTGTACATAACATCATTGTCTGGTCGATGCACTTCCTCGAAGAAGTCGCGCGGCTATTCTCAAATGGCATGTTTCATGAGGATACTGGCAATGTACAGCCAGGCTGCGCTGGTGTCTCACCCAGTTGACTCACAGGGCGAGGAGGAGGACGAAGAACTCAGTCGCAAGCTGGTCACAGCCATCATCAACGCGGCTCCTTGGATGCTTTCTGTTGTGTCAGGATAGGTCACTCGGTTGGTCCTACAGTTGGCATATAGAACCGTTTTGCAGGTGATGAACTCGTACTGCATAGCAGGGACCTTCTCGCCCCTTGCATCACCTGCCTCGATTCTGGACCTCCTCTGAGGAGCGCCATGCGGAGTTGTCCGAGACCTTGCAAGAGGCGCTCTTTACACTCGTTACTTTCAAGGGCCACTGTTCAAGATGATTTCCCGTTTGCCTGTCTTAATATATATATATATATATATATGTATGTATACACACACACATCTCTCTCTCTCTCTCTCTCTCTAGCTCTCTCCCGGTCCTCTTTCCGTAGTGTGTTGTCTAGGCCGTGTTGGTAGCCGGCGCCCTTCATAGATCTTAAAGAGGGCATCCGACTCCCCGGCCGGCAAACTGTGCCACGAGAGCATCATTCTGGCAGTCAGTGTATTGTGGAAAGGCACACCTCGAGCAGTAAAAGCTGTCGTCGCAACGCTTGCATTGCATACCCTTGTATGAGGCAGGTTAGTGATCCATGAGCAGCTGCGTCTTCCAAAATGCAGGTGGGCAAAGTTGCACCCAAGCAGAGCTTCCGATCGGAAGGACGCTTTCGAAAGCAATGAACTGACCTGACCATGGAGCCTGATTCGTGATTTCAGGCACATGTTTAATCACGACCAGCGCCTATAGATCTGCACATAGGTACGAAATTCGCCAAGTTTCTCTTGTTGCAGAGGTCCTCGGAGATGAAGGCGGTGTTGACGATGATGACGACAGAGGGCCGCGGCGACAGCGAAGCAGCTGGACCGTTCATGCCGTGGGTCCGCGTTTTGGCACATGTGATCAAGCTGGGTTCTACGACCTTCGGAGGTTGCAGTGTGGCTGTAGTTCAATCGACTGCAACAGCAGAGGGATCAGCTTACATAGCTGAGGCATCGATTTCCAAGACTCCGACATCCGCGACCCATCTGAGAAAAAAGGATCTGTGTTCTTTGAGTCTTGCCGAGTTGACATTCTGAGCGATCTACTCATCTACCCAGCCTAGCGTCGTGACGGTCTGACTTGCAGGGTAAATTCGCAAGCGCAAGGTCACAAGGCAGCGGCCAGGCTCCCACCTTCCTCAAACACTTCCAGGCTTTTTTGTCATCGACCCTCAGGGCGAGGCGATGGGCGAAGAGTACTGTCGGGCCTTGCAAACCAAGGCAAGGCGATTGGCAACCTGCAGAGCGTACTTGTCGCAGAGAGCCTGAAGTGCATTCGTTTGTGCCCGCGGCCATCCCGGTATAGATAGCTAGCTAAGCATCATTCCATTCTAAGTTGTTTCCGGTCGCATCAGCAGAGGCTTCAGAAAAGTGGCAGATACAGGTTTGGGCCCACATGCTGTGGCATCAGGTCGCTGTGTGCAAACTCCGAAGGAAAAATAGGTTCCATTCGCAGCAAAGAGAAGCGGTGATACAGTTTGTAATTCAATTGTAGCGCCAACTGAGATACTGCATGCTTGATATTGCAAATTCATGCTTGGCCTTTCGGCGGCGAGGCTTTTGACGGCCCCAGCGGACACAAAGCCCGGAAAGCCTCCTGCTCAGATGAGGCCCGCGACTGTTTGTAGCTTACTCAGACAGATGGAGAGAGTCCCTTTGATGTTACAAGCGGACATGTGACATGTTCATGATGTTGGTGGTGTATTGGGCAATTGCCAGCTAAATTGACCCCCGCCTGAAGAAAACTGTGAATGGTTTTTGCTGCGATGTCTTTAACGTCGCCTGAACCCTGCCCACCCCAGTCAACACGGTACGTGGAGCCTTACCGGGAAGCCTGAGGGTGGAAATCATGGCATGCAAGCTTCGACGGCAGGATCGGGTTGTGCAAGTGTAGTGTCAAGAGCGAGTCGAAAGCAATGGCTTGGTCCGTCCACGACTTTGTCGCGTTGAGCTGTTGCGAAACTTCTCGGAGCTTTTTTTCCTTTTTTGCTTGATCATCAACCCCACGAAGTAGAAGCTGGGAATTGAGACTGTGAAAGTGGGACAAACACATTGTCAATGTGTGTTGCAGTGATGAGCCAGGGCTTTGACTCCTCCGACGACGAGAGTGACGAGGAGGAGGAAGACTGGAAAGACCAGTGTGACGAAATGGCCGCAGCTTGCAAGCTAATTAAGGGCGGAATCTGTCAACAAGTTTGTGAGAAGTGGTAATGGTAAAAAATCGGGTAATCCTCTTCTCGTGAGACTGTGAGCTGGACGGCCTGAGCCCCATTTCTCGACAGTCAACAGGTGCCTGTCGCAATTCTTGCAAAGTTCCGGAAGTTGCCGGGTGCCAGGTTAAACAAGCCACCTCAAGTTCCAAGCTCCCCTCCGAGGACTTGATGGGCCAGCAGCGTCAGATGGTTTTATGGTCGGGATCTTGGTAGCCAGCTGGGAGTGGGAAAGCTGCTTGAAACGACAAACGTTCCTTACATCCGAAGTTCTTGCCGAGCCCTCCCGTATGGAGCACGTCTGGAGTTTATATGATTACCTGGTTCTACCTGTCTGGTACTTGTAGGTCTTTGCCTGTGCCCGAAGAGAGTCCAGCGCTGTGGTTTATGTTCACGGAGCGCTGTTAAGTTGTCATTGGATCTCAAAGTTTTTATGTGTCCGGAAGATGATCTACTGCACACGCCCGCATAGTCTCAGGTGGAGTAAGGCATGGTGTTGAAGATTTCTGCTCTGCTTCCCGCTTCTGCTGGCATCGCGGGCGATGCTCTGCATGATAGGCTGTGAAGCCCACGGCTGCGAGCATGCACGATATCGTTAGCGGCATATGACACTTGGCAACTTGGTGCTGCTCTGCGCGAAATTCGTCTTTCGTCGCAGAGGCTTGGGAATGGTGGCAGATTCAAGATTATGTGGAAGTCTCTTCACTGCGGCAGCTCCACCTTGCACGAGTGGCATCGGCTGAGTTTTCGATCCGCACTGGCAACGCGAATTGCAGGTGGCCAGCTTTCGGATCCTTAGTTGAGATCTTCCCAGTCTCGAGCACGACATGTCGCAGAAGCAGGGATTCGTGGCGGAGTCAGCGGTGACCTGCAATGAATGTATTGGCCGTAGAGGCTACAGAATAGACTCTGCGAATCCGTGCCGTTCTGTTCGCATGTGTTCCATGCTGAATACCGGACATTTGAAAACACTGCTCAGGCGAGCTCCGCAGCAACGACCCAGTACTCAGAAAGCGTGTAAGTAAGGTAAACAGAGTCTCCAGCGGCGGTTCTCACGGATGGACAATCACAACAAACAAGCAGTGTCCATGACAATCTCAAGGTCAAACGGGCAACTTCTAACTGCAAGAGTTTCAGAAGTGTTGTCACCATTTGGAAAGCACTGTGGAGACTCGACTTGTGCATTCGGCTCTCTTAATACCTTCCAGGTTGTTGGTAGCTTCGGGACAGGATTAGAGGTTTGGAGACCCTTTAAGACACTTTTGCCTTGGTCGAAAAACTGGGAGATCTGCATTACAAGTTAAGTCTTGACAGGGGTTCGTCGAAATCCATCGGCACAGAGAGCCAATCGATTCGCTCCAATACGTCTCGTCCCCTGTTTGCGAACGACCCCCGTAGCCCTTGTGGAGCCGTTATTGGGTCATGCCTACAGTGCCAACAGTGCTTTGGTCATAGCGGTCATAGCGCAGACGGAGGACGAGGCACGTCTTCCGGCACGGATCTCCCCATCTAGCCTCCCTCCCCCCAGGAACGTCTACACAAAATCCACCACTGTGTAGGGGAAACTGGCAGATGGCAAATGTCATAAATCGTCTTTTGGTGCCCTGTCTCAGTCTTGAGCTCTTCGCTTCAGGTGGCCTCCTGGAGCAACGCTTCTAGGCATAGGCTCCAGTGACTCCAGTGACTAGTGACCGGAGGTGTTGCCCTGTCTATTGACACGAAGATACTTAGGGCGTCGGGATTTCGTAAAGACTAGCAGCCATAGTATAGACCATAGAAGCGGAAGAGTAAGAGGCCAATAGGACCCATCAAGAGCCCTGTTTCAGTACGTTGGCACGTGAAGCCAGGGAGCTTCCGAAGGATCAGTTGGGCGCTGTTGCAAACCAAGTTGACCCTGTATCAGAAGCCACTTGGGAAGGCCACAGTTTGGCACAGCTCCCGCCCATTCACATTGCGTCGCCTGCTATTCCTCAAGCCTCGAGGTGGTACAGGCCCAGGCTGATTTCGAAAATCAGCGATGGGCAATGGCAGACGTTGGAGCAGCTCACAGAAAGTACTATGTGTTTCTGGAATACACATAATGCCAAGGATCGCATTTCGATTGTGGTTTGTTCGGTCACATGGTGTGCTGGTCCTGGCTAGGCTCCTGGGCAGCAGCCCATGCGACAGTTCTCAGCATGTTTGGCGACAGTTGAATTTGTAAACTGCATGCCGCGAGCAGATGGAGTAGTCTTGCTTTCGCATGCCCCCGATTGCGACGACGACGTCTGCGCAAGAGCTCGTGACGTAATCGTGAAGATACAGCGGCAAGCAAACACATTGAACTGCGGCATCTGGCTCACAGCAGACATGGTCGTGTGCGGATCGGCCAGTTTTGAGTCACAGGTCAAACTCTGAAGCTTGACCCCGAGAGGATACTAGCCAGACTCGGCCACGGGCTTCGGGCTTCCAAGAATCCAGAAGAGCGAAAGTGAAATTCTCAAGATACGCTACTCGACAATAAGATCGCAAAAGCTGGCCGCGGAGAGCCCTAAGAGAGCCTGAAAGGGGCCGATGCCCTGTCAGGTTATCCACATCCGGACACCCGGCAGATTTCAATCCGGAAAGACTCGCTCAGGTCAGGATATTAGCGGCGCCTCAGCCAGCTATCCTGCAGCGTGAGTGAACGGTGAAAAGACTGAAGAGGGGGGTGGCGGGTGCGCAAGCAGGTAGAAAAGCAGCTGGAGCAAACAATAGCCAGATCGCATGAAATGGTGGGGAGCCTCAATATCGTGGCTGAAGCACTTCTCCATCAATGCGGGCAACTGTACATGGCTACGTAGTCGCTGACCTGAGTCGTTGGAATCAGTTTCAGATGCAATTCAAGTCTCCGATTCAGTTCGTTAAAAGTCCAAATCCTTGAGGGTGCACAGACGTTTCTTCCACTGCAGTTATTACAGACGATGTCGACAAACTCACTCCGAATGCCAGAGTTTGTGGCCCCACGTAGCAAGCTACCTCGTGCTCATTGATGCTTTTTGGAAGCTCGGAGTGTGCTTCAGGCTCCGGTTGGCGCTTTGTGGGATTGGATTTGCAATGTGAATTGCAGCACCAGGCAACAGTGTTTAGCCCTGTAGTCGCTTTACTGCAAACCCAAATACAAGTGGCAGTTTTCTTCGACATCGGTCGAGTTTCATACACGACAGAGAAGGGAGTGCCAGGAAGCTGTGGGCTCAACGAGTTCCGCACCGCCGAAGGCAGCCGAGGCCAGGGCACGTGGACGGGCGCCTCTGCTCAGCCCGCGAATCCAGACACGCGCTCTACCTGCCTCCTTCCCTCCCTCCCCCGCTCTCTCCCTCTCTCTGTCTCTCTCTCTTCCCCTCTCTCGCTCGCTCTCTCTCTCTCTCTCTCTCTCTCTCTCTCTCTTCTTCCCTCCTCTCTGTCTCTCTGTGGAAGATCTGGAGCCAAAGCGCTTTGTCATTTGGTTTCGAACCAGCTGCGATCATGAGAGATCGATTGCAGCAGTAAAATACCTCAGAAATTCGGGAGGGATGTAGCAAGGCACAACGCCACGAAACTGAGGGCTTTTCTGCATGCTGAACACATGCCGGGTGTGAAGTCAACGCGGCATGCGAACATTCTGAAGTGGGGCCCGCCCCTTGTTCTCTCCCATCCCGGCGTGGAGGCCCAACCCGCGAAACCTCTGCACTTTGCATGACCGATGACAAGGGCCCAGCCCTCTGTTTTACTTGTGGACTTGAGCGTCGAATATATCTCCGATGTTGCCGTGTTGGGGAACAAGTGAGGCTACAGTCCCTGAAAGGACAAGTTGCCATTGCCGACGACTTCTACATCAGCCGAGGCCGTGTTGCAGGGTGCCTGTTCGTGTAACATGGACAACAAAATTCATCCTCAAAGAGACTCAGATGCTCGCCCCACCAGCTCAAATTCGCCTTCCCCCTCCCTCGCTCGCTCTCTCTCTCTCTCTCTCTCTCTCTCTCTCTCTCTCTCTCTCTCTCTCTCTCTCTCTCTCTCTCTCTCTCTCTCTCTCTCTCTCTCTCTCTCTCTCTCTCGCTCTCTCAGTCAGAGACAGGTCAGCACTGGTGGGGCTTACCGAGAAATACCAACGCCAGGCGCCGGATTTGCGTCCATTTTCCATCTTCGCAACATTTCCTGCACAGTGGGTCTGTGACGCAGGGTTTCGTTCTTGTTTGACCGGAAATGGTTGAGGGGCATGCCAAAACCGTCAGACCACGCAGTTCAGGCAACCTCATCGGTGGATTGATGGGCAGAGGAGGCACGACAACGTGTTCCGCATAGTTGGCCGTTCCTCATGTGGATTCCGGGGTTTGGTGGTTCCGGTCGCGAAGCACATAGTCTCCCAGGTTTTCGTGGTTCAAGTTGTTTAGGGGGAGTGTAAGCAAGCGCTTGCTAGTACGTGAGTTTCGGAGACCCGGAAAAGAGTCATATTTATTCTTATCTCTGTGTGTGTGCGTGCGTGCGCATAAATTCGTTCTTGATTTATAACCTGAGCAACCAGACATGTACAAATACATCCGCGCGTGGCGGAATCCATCGCGCGTTTTTGTGCAAATACGCGTTTCGCCACAGCTGGAGCGCATTTTCAGACCGAAAGCGAGGCCTTGAAAACAATGTTGTTGTGTAGCACACGTGTGTGCGCATGGACACGAGCGACCCGTCGTGCCGGCAGCTGTCCCGGCTCGACGTCGCTTTTTCGGTGACCAAGCGATCTGTAGCATCCTTCCCCGGCCGAGCCATGTCTTTCTCGGCGGGCGACATCCAGGCGGCCTTTGCGGTGGTCGTTGGAGGAAGGGGAGGATCTGATTCCTTCCTCCAACAGTTCCCGCCTGGCGCCCGGCGGGCCTTGATGATGATGCTGTCGTCGTCGTACATCGGATCCGCCGCCGCCTAAGGCGCCCAGCCGACTTCTGGATCAACTGACGGCGGGGCGGCAAGCTCGGCTCCTCCGGCCATTCCGGAGCCGCAAAGCAGCGCCCCCCCTGTGCAGGCGCAGCCGGCGCCGTGGCCGCTCCCTTTGGTGCGGAAGGCTCCATCGCCAGTGCCGGCAGATCAGCAGGGGGGGCAGCAGACAGGTGGCGGCGGGCCTGGCGAAGCCCAAAGCCGAAGGGGCCGCCGGTGGCCGCCGGTGGCCCTTTGGGAATCCTCCGGCTACATGACGGCGGAGGACGCTCGGCGCTCGGCGGACATGGGCTTCC